CGCCTTACACTTCCAATTTCTTTATCTTCAATCCTCACGAGTGATAGATCTCATTTTTCCCTGAAATGGATTTAAAATTTCTTTTTATGTGCTATATGGTAGCAATTAATTGTTATTTTTTAATTCAATTTTCACGAACTTCTTAAGAAAAAAACAGGTTATCTCAGTTTCCACCACTGAGAAACATCTTAATTCCTTAGTTCCTACAAAATACACAATTTGGACAGGAATCTCACCTTTTCTCGTGAAGAAAGCTAGTGAATTTAACAATATTGGTAGTACAAGAAGTAAACAGTCAGCAAGACATAGGTTATATATTTTAGATCAAATTTAAAATAGTCTTTCCTACCCCCAGACACACTGTCACCCTATTTTATTATCTTCATATCATTTATCCAAGTCTGAAATGTCCTTGTTTATCTACCTTTGTCACTTGTCCCCCTGAACCACCCTGCCCCAGTCGCTACCATTTGCTGACCCCACCACAAAAAGGTTACTTTCTACCACGGATTCTTGTGAGGCTATCATGCCATCTCTCCTAACCTTAGCACTTCTGGCACAGCTCTGTGGAAGCCCCCATGCTGGGAACAGGTCTGTCTGTAGGGGTTCCATCTAGAGGGCCCAGAAGGACTGTGTGTGTCCCTGCAGGAGAATCACGGGCGTAATGGAACTGGAGGCAATACTGTAGAATGGCTAACTTCCCTTTGTTTTTCATCCGCCCATAAGTTCGACAGACCACAACGTGTCCCAGTCTTTACTTCCCTGAGCAGCAGTGCATTTTTATATGCAAAATTTTGTGGAAGTTCAACACATAAACATAAAAGCAGAGCTGCTGGTTGATGAAACAGTAAGGCAGTCTAAGGCTCTGTCCTTCCCCATCGCAAACCACCCCCCACCAAACCACCCCCGGGGAATGTTGGAATCCCAAGGGCAATAAGATACCTGGGAAAGAAAACCTATGGCCCACTGAGGATGACAATAATGATGATTTAATTTAATAATGATAGTTTATAAGAATGATGAGAAATAATAGATAATAGCCCCAGCTCCATATCTGCCTAAGTAAAACGCTTCTATGAAATGGTCGCCTGTGTCAGTGGCAATCGCCTCAGTGTGAGCACTGTGATCCCCAGGAGCACAGACCTCATCAGTGCAGGAGAAGTCACTCAGGACTGTTTTGTGAGGCTCTCTCCAGGAAATCGAAAAAACAGTGTCACTCGTGACATGTAGCTGCCTGATCCAGGTTTGGTCCATGTGACATATTTAGCCAAAAAAAAGGAGGTGGGGGATTCGTCATTAACTTGGACATTAAGCATTAATCACATTTAAGCAGGTAGCAGGGCCAAAACACCTGCAACTCAGGATTTGAGAAGTTATATCTAAGTATGGAAAAACTGAAGTTACTTGCCATAGGTGAGTTACTTCCATGAAAGAACAAAGAGTTTTCAAATTTTCCAGGTCAAAAGAGAACTTCTAGTGTTTCCTTCCTGCACAGCGCTTGTACTGGGAAATTTGGATGTCAGGGTCATTGTATGGTGTGGTCTAGGAAGTGGTCTGGGTTTTCTCATCGTATTCTTAACCATCATTAGTTACTCTATAAGATGTATGAAAACTGGTGGCAATTATAGAGTTCTTGTTCATGTTAATACTTCTGTCCTATCACAGTGGCCTAATTTGAAGAGGTACTAACTGAAATGAATGAGGATTATGTCTACTGAAAAATAGGATGGAATAACCTATACTATTAACCATATGGAATACTTTGTAGCCACCTTTTAGCATGTTGTAAAAGTATATTATAAAACAGGGAAACTGAAGTTATGCTAAGAATGAATCTAGAACTCTGTAATTCTAATTTTGTACTTTTTTAAAAAGGATTTTTATTTATTTATTTTCAGAGAGGGAAGGGAGGGAGATAAAGAGAGAGAGAGAAACATCAATGTGCGGTTGCTGGGGGTGATGGCCTGCAACCCAGGAATGTACCCTGACTAGGAATCGAACCTGTAACACTTTGGTTCGCAGCCCGTGCTCAATCCACTGAGCTACGCCAGCCAGGGTGAATTTTGTTCTTTTTAAGAGGTAAACACATTCATAAGGATAAAATCTGGAAGCATCTACATCAAAATATTATCAGTGGCTACTCTTGAGTGGTGTTTTGTATTTTCTTGTTTTCAATGCTTAACAAATTTTCTATTTAGAATCCGGAAAAAAACACTTAAAAACAAAAAGAAATTTTGCTTACAGTAAAATTGATACAGTATATCTGGAATTTTGAGATTTGTACCTTTTGTAAATTTTGAGATTCATATATTGAATATAAATGCCTGGGCTGTCCTTAACTGTGGGAATGTTTGGCCAAACTCCAGTCCCAATTGCTTTGAAAGGAATAACTTATTCACGCAGCTGCTAAGGTGAGTTGAGCCCAATTGTTCCTGGCAACATAGTAAGGGCATTGTGGGAAATGACAAACGTTGGGAGTAGACACACCTCCTAGTTCTCAAGAATGGCTCAGTCCCATCAAAAACCAGAATTGTCATGACTTGGATGCAGCCTCATCAGTGACTATACCAGGCCTTCAGTAGGAGCAATCATTTCTGTGAGAATGAGGCCTCTTCACTTATATAAGACTGCCTTTGTATTGATGCAAAGCCTAACAAAATTCTTAGACATGTTTGCAATGTAATTGTCATCGCTGCATGTAATCAGCAAGGAATAGTGATTGTTAAAAGCACAGTTCATGAAACCAAACAACTCTAGGCTCAGGGTCTGGCTCCACCATTCTCTAAATGCATGAGCTTGGGCAAGTTTTATTATGTTACAAGTCTCAGTTCATCGATCTTTCAAAGGTTGACCATACCTACCTCCCAAGATTTTAGTGCAAATTTAAAGTGTTTATCAGTATATTTCCCTGACTGGTGTGGCTTAGTGGGTTGGGTGTCCTCTCACAAGCCACAAGGTCTCCAGTTCAATTCCTAGTCAGGGCACATACCAGCATTCTGGGCCAGGTCCCTGGCTGGGCATGTGTGAGAGGCAACTGATCAATGTTTCTCTCTTCAATGCTTCTCTCCCCCTCTTTCTCTCCCTTCCCCTAGCTCTAAAAATAAATAAAGAAAATCTCTTAAAAAACAAAAATAAAATACAGGATCTGGCAGAAGTTAAGGCTTGCTTGAGTGTGGCTGGTAGGGTAATGACTGGAATAATTTATAGTTTTAATTTGAACACTTCACCTAAAATGGCATATGGTGTGCTTGAGTGTGATATTGTTATGTTACAGAATTGCATGCTTATGATTTTGTAATAAAATGGCATTATTTGTGCCAGACCCTGTACTTATCAGTATGTACACCATGTGGTAATTCAATAAAAATATTTTAGAAGCCTAGATACACAGACTTTCAAATGATGTAGCCCACTATTGAAAAACTAAAGTGCATACTATTTATTTTTAAACTCAAATTTAAAACGCACATCCTTCAGGGTGAACTTAGAGAGCTATATACACTGAAAGTGGTCCCTGAGCCCTCCTCACAAAGCACTTTAATAGCTGTTCCACATTTTGAAGGAGTCAGGTTCTGAAACCACATTGTGAACTACATAAGATTTTGGGCAAAGTTTCATCATTCTTCTCCTATATCATCTTCACTGACTCTATACTGAAGGGATGTGAGTAATGGTGCAAATGATGTCACAGACACTATCACATTGTGTTAGGAGTATAAACGTCCACTCCTGTCTCCCACACTGGCCTCATAATCACCTCAGAATGTATGAATAAAGACAACAGAGTATATGTTAGGAAAAGGGCATATTTTAATAATGTCTCAGACCAATGATATACTCTCAGTAACATGAAACAGTAATTGTTGAAAATATTTCATTTTGATATGCTAATTAAATGTTGTAAGTAGAATTACAAACCAAATAAGATGTCATGAAATGGGAGAAAGTAGAAAATAACAGTAAAAAAAGGTAAAGAAGAAGATTAAAAATTCTACAAACATTAGGATATTTTTCAAACCCTGCTTCAAAAAGGGGAGACAGCATGGTATACTGTTTCCATAGCACAAAATGAGACACACAGACCTAGTGCTCAATCCAGATTTCTGTCACTGACTTTTGGGAAACAGTAAGCCAGTTATTTAACCACTTAGAACCTCAGTATCCTCATCCAGAAAATTAAACTCGTTTAACCTTTTTATGATGGTATGATGATCAGAAATGTAAAATACCTGGTGTGGGATGTGTCTATTGTGTTCTGTATTGGTACATGGAAAAAAAAAACCTTAAAAGATCAAGGTGCTATATAACATGACACAGGCTAGGCCATAAAAAAAGAGCCAGTGCATCAAAAGCCAGATGCCCACCCAAGGTCACAGGATATTAAACAATGAGTGACCCTGACCTTGACATAAAAGTTATTCAGGAGATAAGAATTAAAAGCTATAAAGCAAGAAAATGAAGTAACCAAGTAACACTGTAACTCAGGGTTGGGGGTCAAAAAGGCAAAGAGGTCAAAGTTAATGACTAACCGGGAATAGTCAATCTGATACAGTCACCAACCAATCAGATACCGCCTTGGTGACTTTCAAGGTGAGAGTAAAGCCAACAAATAACAGCTGATTCCAAGGACTCATGTTCACAAGCTTTGATACTGACTGCCCTGTTCCCAGAAGAGAAGGCAGTGAGGTCTCTGGCTGGAACTCTGTTACCACTTTTATCTCTCCAGGGTCTAACATTGCCGCTGCCACCTCTATTGTTCTTCAGAAATTAGAAAGGACTCTAGAGGGCCTGAGTCAGAGCTGCTCAAGGAAGACATAAGAGTGACATCCCACCACACAGTCAAGTTTAGAGAACAATGGCCACTAGCGTATTTGAGAAGACAGGATGAAGTCCTGCCCTAAGAACAGTCTCTGTTCCCAGACAATGGCTCAACTTGACTTAGGACAGCAGAGTGGGTCACGCTACATTCACGCCAAGCTCAAGGCTATTGCCGTACATACCTCCAACAGCCACTGTTGCGCATTTATTGACAGGTTCCTTTAAAGTTATTCTCATGTACACTTCCTGGGGCAGGTTTTGTCTTCTATTTCATATGTTTCCCAACCAGACATGTTTGTCAATCCCAGAGGACTCAATGGTGTACCTAAAAGAGAACAGCAGTTTAAGTTTAACCACTTTGGAAATGAAATCATAAAATTTTAAAGCTGAAAGAGAGTTTATAAATCCAGTAGACCTCACTATAAATAAAAGCATTAAATTATTAGATTGTAAACAAAAAATTCCCAATTGACCTTTCCCACCCAATCTTTGAACAATCTCCCTTCCTCCCTCCTTCCTTCCTTCCTCCTTCCTTCCTTCCTTCCTTCCCTCCTTCCTTCCTTCCTTCCTTCCTTCCTTCCCTCCCTCCCTCCCTCCCTCCCCCCCTGCCTCCCTCCCTCCCTTCCTTCTTTGTTATTGTTGTAAAATATACATAACATAAAACTTACCCCATCTTTTCTTAACTGAAAACTAAAGTCTGTGGCCTTCTATCACATAGAGGTATGTCTTTTATATATTTACTGATTATCATTGTCAACAAATAACTGATTTTCAAAAATGAAGTACAGCAGCATTGATATGAAAGCAAAGGGTAACTGATAACCTCCTCACAAGATGACTGATAAAAAAGACAGTCATTTCTCTAAAACCCAAACATTACCCTCACAAATAATACCTTTTATAGTTACATATGTGAAAATGGGTGTTGCATAACCGGGAAGCTAGACATAATGTTTTGCATCTGACAGAGAAATAGGGCGTTAGTTGTTCATTTAGTTCCTCATTTATAGTCATTTCTACTTACATGTGAAAGAATGTAGAATCTAATGGTAGTTGGCAAGGTAGCATTTTATCATGTTTAATTTAATCATTGACATTCTATTTTTTTCCCTAGAAAAATCTATTAGAAATGGGTTCTCAACCCTTTTCAGGATCATATAAGCCCCTCATCACTGAAGTTTACCTGATCAATACTAAGCCTATTCTACTACCACTCAACTTCACAAGGATCTTTGAAGCCCATCCCTGGCACTTCCACGTACCAAACTGAGTAGCTAATATCTTCAGCCAACTAACAGGCTTAGCTCTGTGAGGAAACAATTTTTGGAACAACAACAACAACAAAAAAAAAACCCACTCTCAAAAGTGCCTGAGGACCTTGTCATACCAGGCAATCCCTCATTTAATCATTCTTCATCCTGTCAGAAATAGTGTTACACCTATAAATAAAAAATACAGTAGAAAGCCACTGACACAGCTAACTAAAAATAACACAGGATGCTCTTGCCATTACATGAGCTTATAAGTATTCAATGAAAGGTTCAGAGTAAAAAAATATTTACATAAAGGAACATCATCTGATACTATAAACATTATACACACCTTAGGATCAAGGGGAATCAAAGGGTACCCCTAAAATATCTCAGGAAATAGGGTGCCGCCTTATATTCAAGGCCTTGCTAAGTCTCATACTAAAAACAAAAATCTCAGTTTATTTTGAATAATAAAATAATTAATACATAATTAGTGCTAGCTTTGGATATTTATATGTCACTTGACACAGAAACTGGTTAACAAAAGGAAGCAAAGGAATAAACTGAACAATTATTTTTGGAGGTAAGAACTGATGATAGAAAACAGGAGATACTGTTTTTAAAAAGCCTTTTAAATATCATTTTAAAAAGCAATACATAGGGTTGTTTATATCTGCTTCTTTCTAAATCCTGATCAAAATTAGTAAAGAGAGAGAAAGATATAAATTCATAAAGAAAAAAGAGCAGAAAACATATTCGAGCAGACAACAGACAATAATGGCATTTTGGGAGCTGAAAGCAGAGATGACTGCTGAACTGAGCAGAGGAGGCCAGAACCTCATGGCCTGAGGAGCCAACGAAAAGCCAGCTGTCTGCTCCAGCATAAGGCTCAGGAAATGGAGCTGCTGGTTCCCGGGGAAGGAGTGCAAAAGAGGGGACTGGCTGAAAGGCTGTGTAAAAAGCAGTGAAACCCTTACCTTACACCATATATAAAAATTAATGCAAAATCGATTCAACACCTAAATATAAGCCCTGAAACTATAAAATTTCTACAAAAGAAAAAACACACAGGGGCAAATTCTTACGACTAAATTTGGCAATGATTTCTAGGATATGACAACAAAAGGAGACACAGACAAACAGGACTACATCAAACTGCAAAACTGCAGCACAGCAAAGGAAATAATCAGAATGAAAAGGCAACCTGAAAAATGGGAGAAAATATATGTAGATGATATATATAATAAGGGGTTAATATTTAGAATATATAAAGAATTCCTACAATTCAATAGCAAAAACAAATAACCCAACTAAAAAAATGGGCAAAGAACTTGAATAGATATTTCTCCCAAAAAGATATACAAATGATCAAGAGGCATATGAAAAGATGCTAAACACCACTAATCATTAGGGAAATGAAAGTCAAAACAAAATGACATGTCATCAACTCACACCTGTAAATACTGCCACTATTAAAAAACAAACAAAAAATAACAAGTATTGGCAAGAAGTGGAAAAAAGGAAACCCTGGTGCACACTGGTAGAAATGCAAAACTGGTGCAGCCACGATGGAAAACAGTATTAATGTTCCTCAAAAAATTAAAAATACTACTACCCTATGATCTGGCAATTCACTTCTGGATAAAGAAAATGTGGTATATTTCCTTTTTTTCTTTTCCAGAAACAAAACTTTTTTTTTCCAGAGCAAGTTTTGCTTATCTCACAAAGAACAGGTGGGCTATCATTCAAAAGTCAAAGTAATCCACCATATTAACAATAAAGAAAAAAGATATAAGATTATTATAATAGTTGATGAAACATCATTTGATTAAAAAATTATCATCCATGTATAACATTATTTTAAAAATAAATCTTAGAAAATTACAAATAGATAACTTCCTTAACCTAATAAATGCAGATACCAAATAAAAACTATGGCAAACATATACTTAAGGTGGAAATTTGAAAATCTGAAATCAGGAATGAAGTAAGGTTGCCAGTTACCACTATTTCTGTACAACATTGTTCCTGATCTGTGTGATGAAGCAAACAATAAATTAAAAGTAATATTATTTATTCTTAAAAAGCAGGAAATCCTATCCTATGCTACCAGACAGAGAACAAGAAAGACATTAGGCTAAGTAAAATAAGCTAATCATTAAAGGACAAATACCATAAGATTCCACTTACATATGGCATCTGAAGCAGTCAAACTCTTAGAGACAGAAAGTAGAATGGTGGTTGGCAGATTCTGGGGGTAGGGGGAAAAGAAGAGTTGTCCAGTGGGTATAGAGATTCAGTTTTGCGAGATGAAAAAGTTGTAGAGAACTGTTGCACAACAATGTGAATATAGTTAATACTGTTGTACTATACACTTAAAATGGTTACGATGGTAAATTTTATATGGTTTGTGTTTTTTACTCAATAAAAGAAATAGAGAAATTATCGTGGATTATCTAGGTGGGTCCACTGTAATCACAGGGTCCTTAAAAGTGAAAAAGGGAGACAGAAAATGAGGTCAGAGGAATGCTGACCTACTATTGTTCCTTTAAAACGAGGGACGGGGACTGAGAGCCCAAGGGGCAGCCAGCCTCCAGAAGTTGGGAAAAGCAGGGGAAGGGTTTCTCCTCTAGAGTCTGCAGCCCTGCTGGCACGTCCAGGTTAGCCCAGTGAAACCATGTCAGACCTCTGCCCTATAGAATGGCGAATGGCAAGATAATAAATGTGTATTGTTTTAAGCAAATATATACACATATATAAATTATATATATGTATATATATAATTTATATATATAAATATGTAGATACGTGTGTGTGTGTGTGTGTGTGTGTGTGTGTGTGTGTGTGTGTATAAAAGAGGGGCAATTAGGACCCAAGATCTTTTCCCCACCTGGCAGAGCCAGACAAGCCACCCCTAGTCCCTTAACAGGAGGCAGTTTATTCTCTGGAGAAAGGAATACAGCAAGACTCAGAGGCATCAAATAAGGCTGAAAGAGAAGCATTAAAATCTAGCATTTACAGGCTTGGACAGGGAGACCTCTGGCTCCTTTCTCCTCACATTGTTCCCTCAAATCTTCACAGGCAGGCTTTTAGCCTTTTGGTGAAACTGAAAGATAATTAAAAAAAAAAAAAGCCTGCAGATTCTGAGGTCTATAGGAGTCACCAACTCAAATGGCCAGGTCCCTGCCCAAAGCCCAGGAGGCCACAAGCTCTACTCCACTTTTCATTCCTAAATGTAAACTCACACCTAATTGCCCCACTCCTGAATGTGAACAGAAAACGAAAGCCTCCCCATTCCTCTGAGAAAAGCTTCTAACATTAAAGTCAGGGACCAAAACAAGTGCATAAAAAGAGGGAACATAGGGAAAGGAAAAGTGTAAAAAGTACAAGAAAACAGCAAAATAATACAATTCATATTCTCAAAGGAAAAGAGAAAATACTGCATCCATGAAACAGAGGATCCTATTTAAAGAAATTACTCAATTTAAAAATTAAATTGAAATTACAGATATGCTACCAGAAATTAAAAGTTCAATAAATCTAAAAAAACCTCTCAGAAAGTAGAACAAAAACACTAAGAGATAGAAAAGAGCTAAAAAAAGACATAAGAAAATTAGAGAATCGAACCAATAGGTCCAAATATCCAACAGACAGACTTGCAGAAAACAGAATAAGACAGAAAGGAAATTATCAAGGCAATAGTACGGGAAAGCTTGCCAGATTTGAAGGATATGAGTTTTGGAATTGAAAGGACTGTGAATATCAAAAAACCATTAAGACCTCTGTCCCAATATGAAATTTCAGATTCTGGGGATAAAGAAAAGAGCCAAACATTTTCCAGATAAATAAAAGAGCTCATACACAACCAACTGTGAAGCACAATGGCCGGAGACATTTTAACGCGGGTATCGTAAAGTTCAACCATGAACAAAATATAGTCATAATAAAGTAAACATTGAATATTGATTTAACCACAGACCGTAACATGCTGCACCCAGAGAATGGAGAAACAGTGAGAGGAAGTGTGTACTGAGAGTAAAGGGCTGTACATGAGAGGCAAATTCTCAGCAGG